TCCATTCATGTAATTGTGTGTAGCTTTTTGCTTCTGTCAACCTGTGTCTTTGAAGGGGAACATGGGATCTCAGAAGGTATGCTGAAATCCTAAGGAAGTCAGGTGAACTCTCCTGATGTCTCATCATGTGGGTTTAGGTTTGAGCACTAGGAAGGTGGGAGGGCTCAGATGGGTCTCAAAGTGGGAAAGCTCTCAAAGACTGAAAGCTAAATGCAGTAACTCAGTTTTGCACTGTCTTCGGAAGTGTAGAAACAAATGCTGTTTGGAGCCTTGGTAATGTGAGCTAGAGACTGATGCAGTAAGTGTCTAGTAGGGTAAGGTCTTCAAAAGAGAAGATGAAGATTACCCTAAGCATTTACAGTTATTAAAAATACACAGTAATTAAAAATATGTTGAGCTTTTAGACCATGAGTTCAGAGACATTATGACATGGCTAATACCCTTCTCTGCACATATTTTTTTGTTCTTCTTTATCACAGCTACATCACTATTCTGGCAATGCCATTGTCAGATTTCACAGTTTAACACAACCTTTTCGCTTGCTCATGCAAAAGATGCAAGCATGGTAATTAATTTCGCTATGTGAACTTTTACGTAGCACTTCTGGAGAGATGTGCATCACAACTAGTGTTTTCCCAGTAGTCTGCCTTTTCCCAAGTGCTTAGTGTAATACCTAATATACTATCAAATGTGTTGCAGTCATCTAGTGCTATGAAAAAATAGTTATACTGTCTTGTGCACAGACTGACAGCTAAGAATTCTTACTGCATTTTCCAGCCGTTTAGATCGGAATGTTTAGCCTGTAGGGCACATTTTCTTAACAGAGATGGACATGAAAGTCACATTTATAAATTAAAATAAGAGGAAATGGAGGAAACATTAGTATGTTCTTGATCTCATCTGTTTATTGTTTTAACTCATGGGCATTATGCCTTTTTAAAACAATTTTTAACATCTTCCTTTCATATATGTATCACTAGGGCATTATTTAACTTCATTATCTGTAAAAGCAAAATTTTAGTATTCTGGGGACCACTGAAGCTACACTATTAAGAAATTATTTTCTAACAATAGTATAGTTAGAGATAATATATGCAGAGCTTCTGAAGAGTTGAATTAAATCTAGTCTTGAGAAGGGTATACACAGGGGAACCAAGACTCTAGTGTATACATATCTCCAAAAGAAAAAAATTAAAATAAGTTTTCCTTAGGTAGTTGGACAACAATTTGTATTAGGTGGAACTAGGGCAAATAACAGTTTGAGAGTGGCACAAAAGGGCAGCAGCTGAACTACAAAAGAAAGTCATGGTGACTAAATATATTGGATAACATTAACAACATGTAGGGCGATCTCAGAGCTCAGAATGCACTTGAATTAAAGCAAATGACTGAAGTTGTTTGTTATGTTTGCACTACATATGATTTGTCTTCTGTGAAATACAGAATCTCAGAGCTTTCCTTTCTAAACATTACTGAGGGAACAAAATTACACAGACCTCTATGGGGACTTAGAACACATAAAATATTAAATTGCTATGGTGGAGACAATATCAAATTTACCATAGCATCTTTTCAATGTTCCTTTTGCTCTCATTTTTCAGGGAAGCCCAGCTTTTTGTTGAAAAGTTTGAAGGTGCTCTTGGAAAAGGAAAAGGAAAAAAGTTCTATGCATACAAAGTGATGATGATGAAGGTAAATTTATTATTCCACTAACTCCATGTAATGCAAATAGGGAGCCTTTTGCAGATTATTGGCAAAGGTTACTTTTCTTTGCATTTTAACTCTTCTATTTTGACTGCTTTCACATGAGATTTCTAAAGCAAGCTCAGCTTGATTGAGACTCGTCATCAAAATCAGCTGTTTTGCATGAGTTTAGTGTCATGTGAAAGTTAATTTCTCTTGGTATAGACTGGATTTTTTTTTGTGGACTGAATCCAAAGCTAAGTCTTTCCCCTGAGACAGCTCTCTGTGAAGGATCAAAAAGTGTCTTTTTGCCCCACAGCAAAAACACTGGAGGCTTGTCCATTGAGTAAAGATTCTAGGGCCACAAATATCCTAGGAAGCAATATCATTGTGTAGGATTGTGACTGTAAGGCCGAAGAGTGGTTTTTGAGGACCCAGTGTCCACACTATATGTATTCTGGCAGGTCTTTCTTTAGGTTAAGTCCTGTGGATTCCAAAGACTAAATACCCAGTAGCTGTGGATGTAGATCAGCATGCTCCTCAATTATACTCCTCAAGTACATCTTTTGACTGAGTTTTATGCTCTGACACCAATTTACGGTGCCAGTGTAAGTGTGGTAAATTGGGATGGTTTGGGAAATTGGCTTCAAAAGCACACTCTTGCCCCAAACTAAAATGCTGATGCAGAATGATGTTTAGAATATTTAGCAGGACTGCTTGCTAAGGCAAGATCTAAGATTGGATTTTCTGTAAGCAGTTGTGTATTCATATCTCATAAGCATTAATGTTAACAAAAAATGGGGAGGCTTTCAAACTCAGCTAGGCACAGGAAGCTCAGTTACAGAAGTTATACTTAGGCAGTAAATGAACTACTGGATAGAATAAATGTAATTAAATGATGTATCTTGAGTTCCAGATCTGAATTTTGAATAGCAAAGGAAAGAACAAATTAAAGTCTCAGAAACATTTAAAAAAAAAAAAAAAAAAAGGCTTGAAAGGAGAGGATTATTAAGTCCTTCTTCTTGTGGAAGAAATAGGGACTTCACAAACGTCAGTAGGAGACATACTCAGAACAAATGAAAGGAAATAGTTCTTCATAAGCTAGTGCTTCTCTTGCAGTAGGCTCTGCTAAGGGTACTGTGGATGATTCAGGAGTTACATTAGCTCTAGGGGAAAATGAGCATCTGGGCACTGAGATGATTTTTTTTTTTTTTTTAATCTGTGACCTTTTTTTCAGAAATGGATGAAATTTCAGAGAGATTTTGAGAATTTTAAGACAGCCTGCATACCCTGGGAAATGAAAATTAAGGAAATTGAAAGTAAGTACTTATGGAAGGTAATAAAGAATAATATCCAGTGTCATCCCTCCTGCATGCCAAAATGGTAAATTACTTTTCTATACTTCAGAAATACATGACTGTGTCCAATGTGTAATATAAAATCAATGAGTATTTCTTTTTCGTTACTATTTATTGAAATCAATAGTATAGCTCATTGAAAATTCCTTGAGAGTGTTAATCACCTTACATATAAAAATACTCAATACACAGGTAACAGGAGCCAGTGTTGAAGTTAATCGTAGAAAAGTGGAATTGGGATTTAGCTATTGCCTACCTACAGTGTATTTTGTCTGTACTTATGCTATAATTAATTCTGTGATGTTTTATCGTCAGCTTGAGTCTTACATACAAGATATTTTCACCTTATTTCTCTAATTTTCAACCATATAATACATCACAGAGAAAACAACAGTGGTCTTAGATGTCCTTATATATTCAGCATAAATACAAACAAAACAGTCTAGTTAGTACTATGGGTATGTTTGAGATTATATTTATCACATGAGTCAGGTTTGTGTTTCAGTTCCATTGAAGAATTTATACTGTAGCCCTCTTTTTGAAGGAAGTTTGACTTAAGTGCATGGGTAGCTGAGGGAGGCTCTGCCGCTGATGAAATGCAGATAAAAGTGCAATGGAAACTAATTTTAGAGAAGTTGTCTTTGAAAGAAACCTTAAAAGTTGCATCAAAAGGCAATAACCAGAACAACAGAAGAATAGGAAAATGATAAATTTTGAGTTTTGCGGCATTTTGGACAGCAAAATAACCCCTGAGGAGAACTTGTATAACGTCCTTAAACATATGGCCTACAGACCACTGAACAAATTATCTACTCACTTGAAGTGGAGTTTACACAGAAGCTGCTGCATATGTGTGAGCAGCAAATCAAACTCA